ATATAAAAAAGTACCTAATAAGCACAAGTTTTCTAAGGCCAAGAATCTAATTCTGACATGTTCATTTTAATTAAGTATAAATTAGTGCGTACTTAGTCTGTTATATATATATAGTAATTTACAACATAATAAACTTTGTTTATTCTTAAGAATATTTAAAAACATTAATAATTAATCTTCAAATCCCAAAACAATACATATTTTAACATTATTTACAATATATTAATTATTTTTAAATAGCTGCAATGACTTTTTAGTTTTAAAAAAAAAATTTATAGTGATTTCTTTATTATAGATACGAAAATTCCTTATAAAGATTTACATTGAATTTAACAAGTGTGTTAAAATTCTCATTCAAATTATATAATTACTTGCATATTTTAGTATAGTATTTTTTCTCAAATCGAATCTCGCCTTTGATCATTGATTAAAACGAATGAAATTAAAATCCTATGAAATCAACGTAACAAATAATTCAGAAGAAGATTCAAAACATTTCTATGTCAACTTTTTAGCCAGTTTAGGACGTAGAAACCATATTTTGTGTGAATTTATCTAAGATTCGCTACGGGGAACCTGTTATAGTATAAAGAAACTTGGTAATGAACGAGACTCTAAAATTAAGCTTAAATAATAGTTTGGAAATAAACATCATATTGGTATTCAGAGTTTCGTATCCCAATAGAAAGATTTAATGAGACTGTTAAATATAAGTAGGTACGCAATAGATTTATAAACTTAAGATATAACTCGAAAGATGATTGTATGCTAGGATATTCAATGTAACACCTTCTGAGTTCTTACTAAGCCCTTTTTAGAATATTTACAGGTGTTGGTTCATCAAAATGGTAATGGTCATCTTCAGATTCAATTCGAAAATTTTTCACACGATGGACAGTTTTTAGCTTTAAGTAAAAAAAAGATAAAAAATTAAGTCAGTATAATTCTGAGTCAGGTGAAACTGAGGAGACTGGGAATGGCTCCGCAAGGCACCATTCCACTAACAGCACATACGGCTAATTGGAATGATAACTTATAGTGATTGTGACAAGATTTGGCTCGTCGCCAACGACGAATGGTACACGTGACAACCCCAGTTGTGGATTCCCAATCTCAGTCCAAGTATCTAACTACCGGCATGTCGCTGACACTTGGGTTCTGCCTCGCAATCACTAACAGAGTGTTTTTGACTCCTTAGACAAATTTGTAAATGTTATAAATGTTATAGAAGGACGTTTACAGTAGGCCGCTTTCCATACGCCAGGTCTGGTTACCTGACTAGAAGCTTTCGCAAATTTGTAGCCATGATGTGATTCCAGTTCTACAAATTCTACTAGTCTGCTCAAAGAGACTAACCTGTTTCAATAGATTTAACTTTAATTCTTCTTCAGGTCGATTTATTTTAAATAAAGGTTGTGACGACTGGAGTATGTTCGTTGATAATGCCTCAGTCCTCCCTAGTAGAGAGGAACGAAAAACGCAAAATCTAAAAAAAAGACAGCTGTAGAAAGGAAGAGGAGGAAATATAAGAAAGCGAAGTCACCATGACACGTCATACGTACTTGTCATATTCGTTGCGATGTGATTTTCATTTCAAATCTTGAAATCTTTCAAATGTTTATTTTTTTTTAAAAAAAAAAGATGTGTAAAAAAACTTTTTTTGTAAATCCAAGATTGGGTGTGTGGCTGAGAAAACAAAAGAATGGCCAATGAAAGATTGATTTGATCGCTAAAAAAAGGTTACCGGTCATGTGATACTGATTTAACACTAAATTTTTCACCCCACGTGACTTTGGCTTGAATTAACCATATTGGGCCTTTGCAATAGAAAGGGCCGGAAAAATCAAAAATGAGTTGATGCTAAATTTATCATATAAAAGTAATATTTATTTTTCCCGGCAGATTCCCCCCTTTCTATTGCAAATGACAAATAAATCTCTGAAAAAATGAGTGTGAAAAAGTGGAGAAGACTTAACCGTTGTAGAGTGGGCTTGAATCGGAGGCAAGTTATAGTATCTTTTTTGTTTATTTTTTTAAAAAAAATCACTAACTTATCTTTGAATAAAACCAACTAACCTTTTTATGATAGATTATTTCAGAACGATCTAATTAATATAAGTGGAAATTGTGAATAGAAATTAAAAACGTTATTATTCATGTTCTAAAGCACAAATAAAAAAAAATGCTATTAATTTTGAATCTACAAAAGCGTTTTAACATTTTCTTATTATTCTTATTATTATTATTATTGCTCGATACTAAACCTACTTCCTATTATTGTTTTTTAAAAAAAAGGAGCAAATCCAGTGATAGGGAAAATAAGCAGATACATGTTCTATCCCATGGACTATAAAGTTTTAAATCATAATTATCCAAATTTCTTATATCGATAATTAGCATTGTTAATGTAAACCACCGTTGCCAAATATTGTAATATAAATCGCTTTGAGTAAAGAATTATAGATCTATCCAAGATGCAATAAAACTAGTACGAATTAATTCAAGAATGTAGATATAAATTATTTGATTTGTTGTTCTTCATTATACTAATTTATTTTTTCGACGTGACATTTTTGTACAAATAGTACAAAATTAAATTATTATAAAAAAAATTAATTAACAATGTTTTGATATCAGAAAATAACGATAATTATGAGATATTAGAATTAAAATAAATAAAACCACATTAAATATGAGACTTAAAAGTTGATTAATCTTGAATTCATTTCACGATTATGTTTCATTCATTTAGAACGATGAAAAATTCGTTTTTTCTTGAACGATGATGTATCGTACAATCAGAACGATGATTAATCGTAGAATTAAAAATGATGATGAATCATTCTTGAGCGACGATGTATCATTTTAATTAAAATGATGCTAGAACGATAATGTATCGTTTAACTAATTGAACTTTCAAGATTTAAAACAGATAATTTTTAGTTTTGTTGCGACAAGTTTATTAACCAATCGTTAAATCTGCTGCTATTTTCAAAAATATATGCGACACAATCAAAAATATAATTCGGGTCAATAACCCGCTCGACTCGACCTGATCGATGCACTAATAATGAGAGAAATATTTCATCATTATATTTATATTTGAATCTATAAAACGGTCATTTTGTAAGCAACTTGCCATGCCATTTTTAGGATTAGTTATCGTAAAATGTTCTACAGGGATTTGTTCCTTTAAATCGGTTGAATGGATTTTAATAAATGAATTTATTTATTTTTACGTATCTTTAATTTTCACCATTGGAATAGGGAATAAATTTGAATGAGGAAGCTTTATCAAATGTAAGTGTCTCAAATTACATATACAAGTTAATTTGGTTATACAGATTTTATTATAATAAAGTTTAATTGTAAATAGGAGAAAGTTTGAACGGCTTATGTCCATTTTTCTTCACAATTAAAGGAATAATTAAAATAATGGAAAATTCAATTACGATAATCTCGGCATTTCACATGATTTTATAAATGGTATAAGAAATATCAAAATAGAAACTAGAAACTTTCTCTCTCTCGAAAAATAAAAAATGTTAGTAGTGACATTCTTTATTTATTATAAGCTTTATTAAAAAAAATTATTTATACTTTAGAGAAACTACAGAAACAATAAGAGTGTGTAAAATAGTATTCCTTCAAATAGAAATGAAGGTGAGTGTGGCCAGTTCCGTCCACTATTATTATTTTATTATATTATTTTTAATAAAGTTTAAACGCCATTCTTCATGACAAACCTTTTCCCGGTTACAGCTATGACAAGATTTTGATTCGGTTTTCCTGACTATTTTTTAGTGAAAAGTTCCTCTCACAAGGAATATTCTAAGTTGGAATTATTGCGAGAGGGACCACAACTTTAGCTCATCAATTATGACGTAAAATACTCATTCAGTAGCTTAATTTTCATCAACAAAAAATTTTGAAATTTCGGTATTAAGGCCGGTGAAGCCGTGATCTGTAACTGCGGCGATCATCTGATTTAGTTGACAAATATGACAGATTGGTCATATTTGACCGA